CCTCATCCAGGATCCAGGACCCAAGATGGGGGTCCGAGGTCTGACCACTTTGTTGGAGAATCACCAGGGGATCTACCGGGGCGTCCAGTTCAGGGAGAGCCGGCTGGTGATCGACGGTTCAAACCTCCTCTTCAATCTGTACTTCAACTCCGGTAGGATTAAGTATAAGTATTGTACTCTAGTAGTGCAGTACTGAACTCTAGTACAAAGTATTATACTCTAGGACAAAGTACTGAACTCTAGGACTTGGTGTTTTAATTGACTGCTGAGTTTTATTCATTATTTATTATTATTCATTATTATTTAGTGATCAATAACAGACGTTAAACTCACAAAGTCTGGTTTCTGTTTGAAAGTGTTAAAATTTTGAAAGTTTTAAAAGTGACTAAAGTTTAAAACTCAGAACTGGCTCAGACTGGAACGTTTTTTTCCTTTTGACCATATTTTAATAGTGAAGTCATTTGTTCTGATAATAACTGATCATCACTCACTAAGCCTCAGTTTAAAGCCAGTTTATAAACCCTGGTGCAATGTGGTCTAAACGTGAGCCTTTATTTCAATAGTTTACTGTCTTTTAACCAGAACTGTGAAATAAAGAACAATAACATATAAAATACTCAGTAGAAGAACTTAGTCATTCTCTGTGAAGGCAGCTCACTCGTGGAATGCTGTGCCACCACATACGCACACAAAACACGTACCAAACATTCAAGCATAACTTGAAGAAATGGCTTGTTGCCAATCAGGTGTGCCAGCATTGATGTGCTGTCTGTTCTGCCTGCTTGTTTCATCTATATGTGCATTTGTCTTGTTCAGTGTTGCTATTTTCCATTTTTTTATGTGTATGTTAAGTGCTTCATGTGTTAAGTGTTATATATGTGCTTGTCCTGTAGGTGGGTTTGTTCTGCGTGACGCATGCTGAAACCTGTTATGTCTGCTCTGCTTTAATGTCGTACACTTTTCTTTTGCTGTGTATTGGTTTTGCCTATACGTTGCTGTCTGTTTCTCTATGAATTTTAATTCCGTTTCAATTTGAGATTTTGTTATTTTAGGCTGCCTTGAAACATCTGGCCGGGGACAGCAGATGTGAATTAGCCTCTGTGGCTAACTCTGGCTCACTTACAGTGCAACAGTTGATTAGTGTGCATTGTCCCTGAAAAATAAATAAATAAATACATTCCATATTTCAAAAACACAAATATTGACAATTTGTAAAATGTTTTGGTTTTTTTGTGGCTCAAGGTGGGGCCATGCCCCATGGCCCTCTATTGTCAGCCGCCACTGACCACGTGACTCATGTTGTGATTCATTTGTTTTAACCTTAACTTTGTGTTGATTGTGTCGCCCCCCTGTGGACTAAAGTGGTAGTGTCTCTGAGCACCAGACTCCCTTTAGAACTCCTCATTTTGCTGCAGCAGGGTCTGACAGTCTGCCCCTCTCAGTCCTGGTTCTGTTCTGGTTCTGCGGGTCTGTCCACATTGGGCCGGTCTCTGCTGGAGGATCTGGGTCTGTCCGGGGTGGGCCGGTCTCTGCTGGAGGATCCAGGTCTGTCCACGGTCCGGTGGACCCGATGACGAGCATTAAGAATAACTATATAGAAATAGACCATCTTCTCTCTGATGGTCTCTTTTACTGATGGAGGTCATATAGAGGATCAGGACTACACTGAGACTAAATGTGGTGTTTAATGTGTTCCTGTGTCTCCTTTGGTTGATCAGGTCTGGACCAGAACCACGGTGGGGAGTACGCTTCATTTGAGGTCCTGATTAAGAAGTTCATCAAAGCCCTCAGCGACTGCATGATCTCTCCGTACGTGGTTCTGGACGGAGGCTCGGACCACACCGACAAGAAGCTCCAGACGGTGATTCTGAGAGTCGAAGAACGGATCAAGAATGCCCACAAAGCGGCAGAGAGCAACAGGCCGAGAGACGTCCTGCCTCAGCTGGCAAAGCTGGTGTTCATCCAGACTCTGGACCGGCTGGAGGTCCCGCTGGCTCAGTGCTACGGAGAAGCCGACCAGGAGATTGCCGCCCTGGCCCGGGAGTGGAGTGTCCCGGTGCTCTCCGGAGACAGCGACTTCTACATCTTCGACCTGCCGGCGGGGCTGCTGCACTTCTCTCACTTCCAGTGGGAGAAGGTGCAGCAGAGGAGCGGCGGGCTACAACACATCCAATGTAAGAGCTACAACACATCCAATTTCTGCATGTTCTTCAGCCTCCAGAAGCAGCTGCTGCCCGTCTTCGCCGCCTTGGCCGGAAACGACTACGTCAACCTGAGGAAGGAGTCGTCCGTCAGCTGGACTCAGTTCGCCCCGGAAAAGAGCAACATGGAGGGGCTGCTCCGCTGGCTGAGAGGCTTCCACCGGCCTCAGGACGCCTTTGAGGCGGCGCTGGGGCTGATGGGAGATCTGAGCAGCACAAGAAAAGAAGAGCTGCTGAAGAACTTGTATCTTGGGATGGAGGAGTACCAGCTCCCCTCCTCCTCCCTGACCGAGTTCTTCATCCACGGGAGGGCGCCTCCATTCCCAGCAGCCGAAGAAGTAATTCAAATCTTAATTTTCCTTTATGAAGGCCAGTCCGTCGGGTAGTAAGACCTCAGCGGTCGATCCGCTTAATAACAGTTTATCGTTAACCATCACAGTGTAATTCAACTTTTATCCTTCAACATTCAGTAGAACATGTGTTTCTAGTCTCTGATCATGTTTCATTGTAAACAACCAATCAGAGGAGAGCTAGTAATGTTCGCAGCACCGCTAACGGCTAACCAACAGGAGGAGAGCTAATAACGTTAGCAGCACCGCTAACGGCTAACCAACGGAGGTTCACTTCAGTTACATGATGATGCCTTCAGGCTCTGCTCAGTGAACATGAGTACTGGCTGAAGGTCCATTATAACGTTATCGTGATGTGTTCACATGTCATCTGTAAAATGTAGTTTTGGCGATAAACTTGAATATATCCAGTAGTTTGAAGGAGATGTTTTCACATGAATATAAAACAGATATTAGAGATGAATTATGATGTTTAACTTCTAACACAAGCTCTAAGCTCATTATTATACTTAATTAATAACAATAAGGATTATAAAAA